GCTGCTAAAGGATAGATCAGCAGGCAGCTCGAGCCTAGCAACAACTCCACGAGAGAACAGGCCGACCGTGTGCTCCTACAGAGACGGCAGCCGGGAAAGCCCGTGAGGCGGCTGTCCTCGTCAGGAAGGGCAGCTCAGTGCCACGGCACCAGTGAACAGTGGCTGACCTCTCCCTTCACCTACCTCCTTACTGATAGGATACCTCATACAGCCGTAGTCGGTGGGCCCATCACACCAGTAACGCAGTGATGGAAACATTGGGCCATTCTGGGGGAAATGGGATCCCAGAGGCTGTGTGCCCAGACGTCACCCGGCTCTAAGGCGGTGGGGTGGAGGAGGACGAGGCTCACTTCAGCAGTGGTTGAACTCAGTCCCGACAACACACTGAGAAAAAGGGAAGACGTTCTTGGGGGCTGGGGTGAGATGGAGGCTAGGGAGGGTGACTGGACCAAGTGAAGCCCTCCATCCCAAACCAGTAGGCTCAGGCATTGGTCAGCCAGATGACTCCTGCAAGCACTGCCCAATCCAGCAGCTTGGAGACCAGGAGGCTGTAGGTCTGTCTAACCCAGGTGTCCTCAGTCCCAGCAGGAAGGCCGAGACAGACACAGAGGTGCTGGAAGCGGAGTGTGACACCGAGCTCACGGTGGGCTAGTCATCCCACTGTTCAGGTGCCGCTGCAGGATTCTCAGAGCGGCTGCTCCTTCCTCCCTTGAACATCAGTTGGCGAGGCTAGCCGGGGGCCCGGAGGGCAAGCGGGAAACCATCTGTCACGGCAGTGGGTCCTTAGAGAGGCTGGTACATTCTATGTGGTGGACTTAGATGGTCGGTGGCAGTTACTGGTAATAAGAGCAGGTCCAGTGGGAGAGGACAAAGGATAGTACAAGGGACTCTGGGAAGTAACTGAGTCCACAAATACCGTCCTTACGCCCAAAAGGACTCAGTGGTTACATTTGCCCATCAAAGAGTACAATGGCATCAGGGAGGTCTCAGAGACATTTCGGGTTCGGTTCCAGAGCAGTGCAGTCAAGAGAGACATGCATGTCTGGTTTCCCAGTGTGCAGAAAGGCGAAGGTGACACACGGCTGTTTCATCTCTGAGACCTGCCTTCATGAAGCATGAGGCAGTATCATGAGAATGACTAACAAGGGACTCAGACCGGAGGTAAGCACACGAGGTAGAAATGGTGCCCACAGATGTGCTCCGCACAGGAGTACCACGGACCCTCAGCTGTTAAGAATGGAATAAAGCCGGGTCTCCCCGTCCAAGAATCCCGAGGTCAGCTGATCTCTTTCAGATCCAACAAGAGCTAATCCCCAAAAGACACGGTTCCATTTCAGCATGAAGATATACATTATGTACTGTTTGGTAGTTATAATAAACTAATGCATTTGAAAGATAAATAAACAAAATGTATTTAGAACTGTACACATATTTTATTTGCATGTTTTTTAATTTTCAAATTCATGTGATTTTCAAATGCCATGTAAACTTTTAACAATATTGTGATTAAGTTATTAACAGGCCTGGGACAACTGTTAATTTGTGAATTAATTAATGGTGGTTTTCTACTCTGTTTTTTTGGTCAGATTTGTGAAGCATTGGGCCTCCACCAGCTGTTCCTCAGCTAAGTGATGAGATGTCTGCTCCTTGGAGACCCTAAAGGTCAGTTTTACCAGCCTACAGACACTAAGGACCAGAGACCAGAAGAGTTGTGGAATGACATCAAGAATACCATTTAGGAAGAAAGCAAATGGTCATTAAGAAGACAAGAAAGAAGGAAAAACCCAAAATGGATGTCAGAAGACACTCTGAAACTTGCTCTCCATTGTAAAGATGCTAAAGCAAATGGAAGCCATAAGGAAGTAATGAGCTCAACAGAAAACTTCAAAGGGCAGCTTGAGAAGACAAAATCAAGCATTATAATGAAATACGCGAAGACCTGAAGTTAGAAAATCACAAGGGTAGAAAGAACAGGCTCAGCACTTCTCAAGCTAAAAGACAAACATCAAGCCTCGACTTGCAGTATTGAAGGATTCTCTGAACAAAACACTGATGCAGACAGCATCAAAAGAAGATGGAAGGAATACACAGAGTCACTGTACCAAAAAGAAGTGGTCGATGTTCATCCATTTCAAGAGACAGCATATGATCAAGAGCCAATGGTACTGAAGGAAGAAGTCCAAGGTGCACTGAAGGCATTGGCAAAGAACAAGGAACTGGGAATAGATGGAATACAGATGGAAATCTTTCGATAAAGTGATGTAGCACTGGAGGCACTCACTCATCTCTGCCAAGAAATTTGGAAGACAACTCTCTGGCCAATGACTGGAAGAGATCCCTATTTGTGCCCATTCCAAAGAGAGATGACCCAACAGAACGCAGAAA